GGGGCCCGGCGGATTACGATTGTCTTGTCCATCTCCTCCTCTAAAAGAGATGCACCTCGAAATAAAGTGACTTTGTAATCGCACTATCATTTTTGAACGGTGTGCTGGTTCGGGTGGTATAAAGTGTGGCTGTAGCCTACCATCTATTTTTACTTGATGTTTTGCAGTAAGGGTTATCCATCATTTCAGGTCGTGACACCAAGGCCATGCTTAACAACAATGGACCCCGATACAAGAGGTAGGCAATAAAGATTACCGCTGTTCAGTCATTTTCCTACGATCAAGAAGTGGCGCTAACGCACCCGCGACACGGTCCGTTTCGTAGAAGGAATGTGTTATCACGTCTCCGCCTGAGCTCAGCTTAGTAGCTGCGCGACGCCATATGCGGACCTCCTGACCGACCCCGACCTCCGTATTACAGCACCTTGGTTGTTATCTGCACTATTCTAATAGTCAGACATTACATGATAGTCCTGGCTTCCTTCCCTACGAGAATAGAGCAGTGTTTTGAAAGAGGGTCGCTCCAGTATGCGGGTGATTTAGGTTGGGCCTTATTGAGGTCCTGCAGTTCAATATAGAAGTCGAGCGCGTGGCCATCCTATAGCCCATTTGTCAATGCCCACTGCCTTGTCCTAGATATTTTGACCTTGAAATCTAGAAAATTTTATTATCTATCTATTAATCACTAACAGAGCGACCGAATCTGGTGCTGGTCTGCTCAGAAAGAAATATTCAGTTCGAGATTGGAAGCAATCTCCCGATCCTTTATTCTTTTTATATCCAAAACCAGTTCTCAGGTGGGGAATGCATTCAATTATCGAAGCAAAAAGTTGTGCGCTTCTGGCGCTCACGTTTTGAAAGTCTGGCGAGTTTCTAATCAAAACGACGCGTAACTATTCGTGAATGACAAGAATCTGGTACTGTTAAAATGTGTTTTCCATGTTGCTCAAAACTAGTCACACCGAATATGCGGTCGCACAAAAACTGTGGCCGAAGTGGGGTTACATGAAGCGCAGTTCTTGGAGAGTCTGACCCCTAAGTTCTACCATTTCGAAACACTAAACACAATTACTACCACGATACTTAACGGAATTGGGAGCACGGCGCATCCCAAGAAATTTTTAGGTCAAGGCAAACCCACATGAAGCGCATTCTGATCAGGCACTTTTTTAAAAGCGCATGATGGGAGATGGTAATGTTAGTGTGGAAATTTTGGGTAGGAAAATCCGACCAGCTCCATCTTCTGTATCGTTTTGGCTCTGTGCGGTACTACTGACTTGCGATTACTGCTTTAGGAAAAAATTTATTAGTCTGGCAAGGCATTAAAGTTTTTTCAGCATTACGCTTTACACCCCCATTACACCTGCGTAGACTGCGTGTACGGAAACACACCGGTGCGAAGTGAGGAAATGGTACCCTTACCGCTGCGCATTCATCCGGCATCGAATTCGAATCAATGTTCATCCAGTACAACCAAGTCTCCTACACTATTTGGCCGGTTATTTGGTGGTACCGATCTGTTGTTATGGAAGAGAAACTCTGACTGGCTGACACCTGGCTGGACATGGCATCGCTGGCCCCCTACAAGTTATTGTGGCCAGGTGAAGCAAAAACGGCTCGATTCGTGAATGAAGCAAAGTGCGTGCTCATTACGCGAAGGGAATAATAAACAGGGCGAGTTTACTGTTCATCGTTTTACGGCCTCCTGCCCGTGACGCCACACAACTTATGATACACCAGTCGCGATCGGCGGCCTTCGCCGGGCCGATCCTCCTTCCGCGTGTGAAGTGGGTCCCTGCGAGAAGTTTTCCATGTGAGGGAGGGCCAGTCGGATCGGCCGGCTTCGCGGGCCGATCCTCCGGGTCGGCTAGTGTGAAGTGGGGTCCCGGTGAGAAGTTTTCCATTGCTGAGGGAGGCCAGTCGGACGTAATGCCTCGGAAAGAAATATTAAGTATTTTGGGAGATGACCACTTACTAGGCTAAGCCCAGGCGCCGCCCACAGTGGGCGGGGCTTAGCCTAGTTCACGTGTGTTTCGTACATCTTGGCCCATGCCCTACCCATCCCAACCTTGACCCGCCCCCTGAGACTGGCTCTTCAGGTAGTTCCGAATTTCCGGACAGACAGACAAACACAGACAGACAGACAGACAGACAGACAGACCAGGACAGACAGACAACAGGACAGGACAGACAGACGTCGCGCGTTTTATATAGTAGTCCGATCCCCTTGTAGTTTTTGAAAGATAGAACGTACTCGCAAATATCACACAAATTTATCCACTAGGTTATTTGCCGACTTTCCATTGATAGTATTCTAGCCTAAGTGGTACGTTCATCCCCCGTATGAATTCACATGGCTGACCGGTTCAAAAGACTTCAGTCTCAATTTAGAAATCATCTCCTCAAAACGGCTCTTTTTGCATGCAAAGACCGACGTTGGCTTACGTCTTGCAGCGCGCAGTCCCATATTACTACTTACAAGGATGTGTACTTCTGACATTCGTGTCGGGGGGAGGCAGGGTCGTAAATATGAACGTGTTCCAAAAAGGAATACCGTAAAACGCTGCAGTAGCTAAGGGTTTGTCCATGTTTACAAACTCTGATAAGAACACCATTGTTGAGACGGTCATCATTGTTGAAAACAACAGGCTCCTATAGAGCTGCGGGGAAATTTTTCTCGCTTGTTAATCTTTCCTGTAACAGCACTTTCAGGCGCAACATGTATGTAAGTCTTGTTCGCGTTTCGGACCGTGGGGCGTTTCAGGGGAGGGGCGGGGGTTGGTGCGGCGCCGGCACGTTCTTCACCAATTGTGCAGGCTGGCAGGCGACCTTGAAATGCCCCAGCGTCAGCAGGGAACAATACTGTTTTATCTCGACCCCCGCCCTCACTCAACAGCTAATTTTTGAGAAGCGTTGATAAGGGGGTATGCAACCTGCGAAATGGGTTGTACCAAAGGAGGGCATTCAGAGAATGGGCTATATTTTGCCAAAATATTGCACGGCACGATGATGCGATGATTATTGAAGTGATCCCGAGTGAGTTAAATGCATGACAGTAAGAATTTCTGACTAACCGATGGATTCGGAGGGAGGCGATCTAGCAAGAGTAACGTTCGTTACACGTGGCGTCACGTGCGCTGCATTCGCACCAAGATCTGTTAATTAACGCGGAAAAGCTATAGTATGTTGAAATCAGTCAGATGGAGTACCACCTAGTTCGTGCAGATCACCACAGCTTGGATTTCCCGACCGCTGCTTAAGTTTTTTTTTGTCATTGGTGTTTTTCGGAGATCATATTTACTCTAATATTGTGTATTATTTGAACCATTCCTTTTCAGAAGTACACTTGAACGCCTCACAAACCTCGATATCATCTGGTGTGTTGTAATTCTTTTGGCCCTCTGTATCACAGGAGCAGTACTATCAGGTGCGATCATGTTTCAAAGTGCTCCCTTGCCACACACTTAGCACTCATTCATGATCCATGAGCCTTTACAGTAGTATATGGAAGCAGTAATTATTCCAGGGGTATGGATGAGAAGCTTTGCTGATCCGTATGAGATTCCATTCTTTACCTGGTCCGAAATGCCCGGTGGGACGGCCTTTCGTCCTTCTTTTGAGAGCTTCTGGAATTTCTGGTCGTTTATTATCGTTCTGCAGGTTTGCTTATCTTTCATTAAAGAATATTGTTTGTAAGGAATTTCAAGGACGAATGCCGATAGTGCAGGAGGGACTGGGGCTACCTTAGGTTGTAGGGCGCTTGGGTGGAGCCTTGCCACACCAGCCAATATCCAAACATCCTAATATCCAAACAAACCGGATTTGTAGGCGTGAGGCTGATTTGGCTGCATAGAGGCAGTAAGTCGAACATTGAGCTGTTCTGTTAGACATGGTAGAGACCTCCGCAAATTCTGGTGTCCTTCTCACACCATGTCGTACGCTGGGGAATAACCAGCGGGAGGGGGAGTCGTACTGAGTTTGAGAAAATCTTTATACTGATTCCTTAATGTTTTTGCAAGGCGCTTATGACGGGGTATTGTTCTAGGTCGTCATGTGGGGGGGGGATGTTTTCCTGACGAGTTCCATCCTGCCCGCTCGAAAGCAAAATTTTGGGGAAAAAATAGAAAACCTACGGGTTTCGGAATACGAGAAAAAAGTGTTATAGGAAACTGGAAAATCTAGAAAGGGTATGGGCAGGATTGGGAAAAGAAGGCCCGATACAGTTTTTCCGCAAACTTTTTCCCCAGCCGGCAGGACGTGCCTTGGTCCTTCCTCCTTTCAATTCGGAAAATAAGTTTGCTAATCGTTGAGTCCTGATGGTCACATTATGCTATGAGAGGGATTTCAATCAATCGGTGTCTTTCAGGTGCTGATACCGATCTCACTCTATGTATCCATAGAATTCATAAAGGTCGGTCAGGTATGGCTGATATCTCAAGACAAGAACATGGTACATATGAAAAAGCGTGGACAAAAGATTGCAATGTCGGTAAGTTATTGGATGTGTTAGACATCTCCTGCCACTGTTCAGAGATAGCGACGCGTGCTTAAGCTGCCTCTGACTGGTTCTTTTTTCGGAAAGATCAGTTATAGAAGTCGTAAACATGTGCAGCGATCCTATGCTTACACTGGAGGGTTTTCACTCTGATTTTTGGTGTCCGCACCCTGTGTTTCTTACAGGATTCAATATTCCGGAAGAACTCGGTCAGGTTCAGTATGTTATGTCCGACAAAACAGGAACGCTAACAGAGAACCAGGTATGAAAGAGCACTTGCACGACGATTCCTCTTGGGTTGTGTGGGTTTTGGGTAAACTCATGGGGCTACAGAGACTTACTGAAAAGCTGTACAATTCCCTTTGCTAATTTGCTCTTTATTCAAGTTTCTGAAGTTTCCTACTACTGCCTTAGCTTCTCTACTAATTCTTTTACGGTTCATTTTTACCTTTTTAATTTTTGCTTTAGATGGTTTTTTCGTCGTTGCTCGTTGAGAGGGCGTGATTTTGGTGGTCATTCTGTGGCCGCAGCCATCGACCAGCCAGATGATCGTCTTGGTAGACCGCGTCCTTCCAAAGACCGTGGACTTGAGGCTCTTCTCAGTCGTGCAGTGCGAGAAGCTGACATTGACAGCCCGATATATCTGTTCTTCCTCACGATGGCCATCTGCAACACCGTTGTGGTGAACGCGAAACCTCACGAGGTATGCATCTATTTGATCTGCATTAGATTTATGTACGCTCCATATCTCAAAGAGGGAAAATCCGTGTCCTCGCACTCCATTCGAACGTGGTGGCAAACGCATTTCTGGAGGGATATTGCAGTTTTAGAGGAACTGCAAGTATGACTTTGTCCAGTAAAAGATGGGGTAACACTTGTGTCGATTGGAAATATTCTACGAACAACGCGCATCCTAGGCCATGTTAAAGTGAAGAAAGTACCCACGCCCACTCCATCGCCGAAATGTGGAGTGTTAAGGGCTACTTTCTTGAAACTACACTGGTCCTAAGTGGTCTATTTGCTTTCATACTTGACTTTTAGCAAAGGCCACTTTGCCACTGGGAGCCCTTAACCCATACCTTACCATGTTTGCCATCAGTGGTGGACTCCATATTACCCACCCGAGAAGGGGGTCGGGGTGATTTTCACAGTCCTAAGTGAAAAACTCTGTGTCCCACTAGCGGTTGCAATTAGGCATTGTCTATTATGGCTGGTAAAATCGCATTTCTGAAGTGTTAAGTTTTAATTATTCCTGATTTCTTTATTCAAGCGGCAGTACATGAGCGTATATAAGACTCATCCTTATAGGATCTTATGGATCCCGATGGTGACATGATCGACAACAGCGTTGAAGAATCGGAGGCTACTGAAAGACTAACGATTTCACCGTTGAGCGTCAAGTTCCTTGAAGAGGTGGAGGAAGAAGTTCCGCTGGGTCAAAGCGTGAAGAGTCCTCGAGAAAGTATTGAACTCATAGATCTGCACGATGACAAGGTATCTCCTCATACCGCCGTTGCAACAGTTTTGAAGAGGTTTGAAGATTGTTTTTCAAGGAGGATTCTACACCGGTGTCCAGTGTCACGGAAAGTGTCTCCAGCGATGTCAAGGAAAAAAGTTCACAAGGCCTCTTTGAAAAGCATGGCTGCTCTCCCTGGAATCCTGCATCGACCATCACTACTCAGTCTTGCACGTCTCAAAGGAATCAAAGAACTTAGCCCGTTTCGAAGGTGAGCCAGAGAAATTCACAGTCGTTAGTATGCGAGCAGGCATTTGCGCTTCCTGATTTTTTTTCATCGTGGTCTGTGAACTAGAAGGTTAGAGAAGAAGAAAGGAATATCCGTTACGCTCACGATCCAGGGGTCCTTCGCTGTTCTCCTCTCTGTACCCATTTCATCCAAC